TAACCCTACCTATTGAAAGGGATGCACTCACACAGAATGAAGTTCAAGCTTCAGTTGGTATAAATTCTCCTTGCTTCTATCTAGGATGCTGCTGTAGAATGATTAGATTTTGTGTTCTCCAAGCTGCACAAGAAGCAGAAGTACATGGGTAAGCTGTACAAAAACAAATTCCAAATTAGTGTAATATCTTCATCAGAACATGCCTTCATAAAAACATGCAGATCTATCAATCCCAGCATCAAAGAGTTGCATCAATCCTTCTTTCAGAAACTTTTGTTCCTGTTCCAAACTAGATGTGTTAACAGAGATGTGTGACTACATGTCAATCTCTTTGCAGATATAAGCAGTGGTAGGAGGAAGCCAATTCTGAGAAGTTTAATTTCTGCATTTTCTTGTAGAGAATTATCCCAACCTCTTGGAAGCTGGTGCCACTGATGTTGTCCTGGTACTACTAGTACCTCAGGAAGCATAAGGCACAGGGTGGGAAGGCAGTTACTCTGAAGAGCCAATTCTATATCATCAGCCTACCAAAGCACCTGGCAGTCTGGCACAGCCTTCAAGGTAACCTCCCAGGTTCAACTGCCTTGCTCTGAGGGGGGCTTCTGGGTGAGATGGCCTTGGACATTCCCTGTGTTGCTGCAGCACAGGTGGTCTCCAAAACCACTTCCCAGCCAACAACTGGCTCTGAGCAAGAACTCCTCAGAGCAAAGTCTTGATGTGGAGGCAGGCAGCAACAGCTGCCACCCAGAAGGGAGAAACAGAGGATAAAGAGGAGGGTGATGGTGGCAGAGGACTAGGGATGTACAAGAATTCCGTTTCTGTTTGCAAATTGTAAGAACGTGCCTCATGCACGGTTTTGAATCAGCAGCATTACTTCTTTGTTTTAGAAAGGTTTCTACTTTCCAAATCTATTAGCAAAAATGTTCATTCTTCCAAAACAAAATATGCATTTTGAAATTCACAGAAAATGCATTTTCATATTTTAGTCAATGGAGGGGGAGTGTGCACTTTTGAAAAATATACACAGAAATATGCATAACTGGGAGTGTGCATTTCCCAGTTGAAATGCAAGCTTTCTCCATTTGAATGAGCCAAAAAGAAAAAGGAGAAACTGGAACTGAGCTGATAGAAAGTGATTTTCAGAGGTATTAGGCAAGCTCAGAATTCATGGGTTTCAGAATGCACCAGGACAATGCCATTAGCACTAGTGAAATGCCAGCACTGAATACTACTGCAGGTTGGAAAAGACTAAATGCCCACTGCAAAATTTCAGAACTGCTCAGGTTATACTCTAGAATGATACCAAGAAATAGACAATGTGTTTTGTTTCATCTTTTTTCGTCTCATCTCGTCCCGGTTCATTTCGTTTTGTTTGGGTCTGTTCTTGACACTTACATGCAGTGTAAAGTGGCAGCTTAACAACACAATCCAGAATTTAGTCCTGCTGTATTCAAAGAGAGGTTACCCCCTAGTACATCTAAATAGCATTGCATGAGTGAGCCAGTAAAAACTCATACCTGTCTACTCAAAAGTAAGCCTTATTAATTTCATTGGGACTTATTCCCAGGTAAGTGCATAGGGAATTGTAGCCATTAAGAGTCAGAATAATTTTTAAATTATGGGCTCTAAGATTTTAGAACACACTTGTTTACACTGGAGAATATTTTAACTCTTTGCATTACCATAACAAGAAAAAGAAAAGGACTTTCTTTATTTCTAACAATGAATAGCATTATTTGTTAGTTATAGGAAGGGGAGGAGTTGAAGAAAGGGGTAAAGGGCTGTCAATACTGAGTAATATGTCCATTTGTTTAAGTTTGCAAACTTATGTTTGCAAACTTACATTTTCAAACAAGGTAGTTGCCTAAAATGTGGTTTATCAACTAACAACTCTTTGATTAATAGACTTTTCTCTTGTGCTACATTTTGAAGGCTATGTCGGTTACTGTGTAGAAGAAGCAGGGCATGCGGAGAGTATGTAGCAGAGAGGGAAGTGGTCTTCAAACCACTATTGAAGAAACAACCTTTGTCTGATTGCAGCAAGTGCTGGAGTACAGTTACGGTCACTGTAAGAAAAATAATTGGGAAAAGCATGGAGAGGGCAAGTGAATGATGATGCAAACAGGTGGCTATTGTTTGTACAAGTTGTGTTCACAGCATGTCTCCATCCTTAAAATGAGTTCCTTGCATTTAATAGATCAGTATTCATTCCACTGACTGGTTGAAGGCATTCATCATTTTGGGCCTTTTCCCAGTTTGTTTCTTTTCTAAATCATGTGGCTTTAAAAGCCATCTTTGTCCAAAAATATACCATTTCCTTAGGAGTGGAGCTGCCTTTTGGTGTTGCCTGTGGCCTTTCAGGACTAAGAAAAATAGGCTTATCTAATAAACATGCTGAAACTAATTAGACGAGGCAGAAGATTGAATTTGTGTGGGTTAAATCAACGCCACTGCTATGTTCTTCAGTTGCCCTTCATGGATGCTATAGCAGCCATTGACTGAACAGTGATATTTTTTAAAAAGTGAAATCTGAAAGATTATTAACATACTACTGTGCTGTGGTGCATAGAGTGGTGGACTCAGGCCTGGTGTCAGAGCTTGTTGCCAACTGCCTGAATACTCAGGAGTGCCTCCTATCCACCCTGCCATGACCAAAAATGCTGGCAAGCACTGGCCAGGATTTTTGCTGCTGTGGCACTGCAACCCAGTGGGCTTCTGCCATTTTAATAGCTCTGTAATGCTTGATACATCGTGGATGCCAGGCAATTTAAAATAGTGGATGCCATGTCTGTAAGGGTGCCTCAACTGAGGTGGTCACATGAGGGAAAGTTCCCTCTGCTGGGGGCCCTGCCTGTCATGTGCTGGGATACCTGACCTTTTGCCTTGCAAAGCATTCTTTATCGACCAAACGGCACAAAACCCCCAAAATGAATCTCTGAGCATGCACAGCGTGGTTTGTTGAACCCAATCTAGTAATCACCTCCAGGAACCCTCCTTAAGAGCATGTCCAGGTTCCATCCCTTCAGAACGGGCCTTCTGAAAATGAGCACACCTCCTCTCCACATGCCAATCCTCCAAGTGGGCCATCCTCCTCTGCTGATAGCATGTCATGGCATCAATCTCTGGGGCAGTCTCATCTGTGTCTAAGAAATTTCCCTGCTCAGGGTTCCATCCCACCAACTGTACATCTTGGTTATTCCCAGATACAGTCTGCCTATCTGGAGAGTCTGGCCTTGACAGAAGTGTCCCACCTGCTCTCATCTCAGTGTCTTGGGATAGTCCACATTCCCAGCACCCCTGCTCCTCTCCCCTTCCCCTTCTCCTTTTCCTTCTGATTCAGCAGCCCTTGAGAATGTGTATCCAGAGCAGCCATCTTTCTCACTCCCAATCCTGCCAAACCCAGCACTTGCCCTGGAGTGGAGGCACCCAAACTGAAATGCTTCATCTCACAGTGTCGCTATAATCAGATTACATTTCTGCTTTTCCATAAAGAACTCTTATGCACAGGCCAATTATTTTATATGCTTAGTTGTTTTTGTACACTACAAGTGGCTTTTTCTCACCAGAAATACGTTCTTACTAGGAAATGCCAAGATTGTTTAACATTTCTTTCTGAGGCTGATCCATATGATAAAATGGATACCACTCAAATGATTGGATCTTGTAATTCTATAATCCCGGGCAGGTCTTTTATTCCTACACTTCATTGCTTTCTGTGTTTGCTGCTTAAAACTTTGATAGAATAAGCCCAAAACACTAAGTCTAATTCTTGTTTTCTTTTGGGTTCCCATGGTGAACATCTACATGCATGGAGTGTTGATGGTCTGTTGGACCCACAGATACAATGAGCAGAATTTTACTTCCCCCTTGCCTCCCTCAGTGTCAAGTTTGGGAGAGATGTATCATAAATTCACTGAACCAGGCTGGCAAATGCTACACACAACCATCTATGGAGCTCTTTCTGCTTGCGCTCAATATTTTCTTCCTTGGCAAAAAAGTGGCAAAATGGCCCACTGAAGCTATTAAGAGAGTAATCCTAGTTCCATAGACATTATCTCAGAGGATATTTCAGATTCCAAATCAGAGACAATACATTGACCTCAAAGCTGGGAATTTCTCCATCTTCCACCCAGCTGCAGCTCTCTAAGGGAGAGAAAGCAACCACCGAGAGGTGGTAAAGAGGATGTGGGTTCGTCAGAGAGGAGGGGAGACAAACTTTTCAGCAGTGACCCTTCTCTAGCAGAAATGCAGGATCAGGTTGACAAGGGAGCAACAATCACCTCCATTGCCCCTCCTGCTTTGGATAGAGTCTGGAAGACAAAGAAGAGAGCTGAAATATTGAAGAAAGCAGACTATTCTTGACTATGTCTCTTACTGATGGAAATGAGCTTTTTTTCAACCTTGTAGAATAAGAGAAAAACTGTGCAAACACCAAGAAACCACCAAAGCACCGATGATGTTCAGGAGAAGAGGTCAGAACAGAGAATATGTCTTCTAGGGAACCCCAGTTTGGAATGTGAGGCAGACTGGATTTGTTTTGTTAGCCTGGGTTCAACACCCTTTCCCAAAAGGTTCACAAACATTGTTCAGATCCACCCTATTATTATTGGTACTACTAGCAGTCATAGCAATTTAATTATTCAGTTTTATATGCTGCTTTCCAGAAGGTATCAAAGCAGTGCACTTCAATATGAAGACATAGGAGTAATAATTGTTTTTCCCCAGTTTTCTACTAAAGTGCATAAGGTGGGAGGCAATGCAAGAATTATAGAAAATATAAAGTATAAAATATGACCTAAACTCAAAACAAAAATCAAACCACCAAACTAAACCCAGGTTTTAATATTGCAGTAAGAGTGCATTTCATGGTAATTCTAGCATTCTGCAAAGCAAATAATAAAAGGTTCCATGTGGTTGGTATAATTTTATATTCATTTTTGTTAGGAACCAGGTCTTTGTCCATCAAATTAACCTGAAGTTTCTTGTCTTTCACCCTGCAGAAATGTACGAATCCAACAATATTGTTACTTTCCATGGACTGGCCAATAGTTCCAGTTACCATACATTCCTTTTGGATGAGGAGCGGAGTAAACTTTATGTTGGAGCAAAGGATCATATATTTTCTTTCAACCTAGTCAACATCAAGGAATATCAAAAGGTACTTTAACCAATTTTCAAATTACTTTTAACCCAGGTATGAGGTCAATGCCCAAATGTTTAGGATATTTGACTGTAATGATGGCCTGGTTCAGATTGCAGGTCTGCTCATATAATGTCAATGTGTTATGGGCTTGTTAGAAAGAAATCTAAGTTAGAATACAGTTATTTCTTCTACCTAGTTTTCCATATGGAATTATTTTCATTTCTATGACTCCAAATAGAAAATTAAATGGAAGAGAAAACTGTATGCCAGTTTAGCACATTTTCCTACCCCAGTGTTCAATCTGATGACCCCTGACCTTCAGTCGGAAATGGTACTGCTCAGACACAGTTTTACCATTGCAGTTAAAACTAGGCCTACATTATACCAGGGCTTAATTTGTGCTAAGACTTAGTCCCTGCATCTGCATTCCATGTCAAGGTTTAACTCGCAACTATACGGGATTGTAACACAACCCATTGAAACTCACTCAGCCATTGATTTCAACTGTAATAAACCTTCATCTTTGATTATATCCTCTGGATACAACTAATAAAGTACCCATAAGCAGATTCATAATATAGTTCCTTCAACAGAAATATATTATTATTATATTTATATAATAAATTCATCTTTAATCTTGTAATTAGTGCAAAAGCAACTGTAGTCTATTTCATTAGACTTGAAACAGTGATTTTTTGGACATCCTCTTTCAAATAGTCATTGTTAAACAAAACATGGATGATTGGAACAGCAGGTTACATAAAGAGACCATTATCCATGTTTTTATACTCCAGTCCTTGACATCAGGTACTTTCATGTAATACTTTACTGCTATTAATAAAATATAATAGATGGGACACTAATAGGGAGCTGCCAGAATAGTAAAAAACTCTTTTCTTAAGATAGAAGACAGAACTTTCACTCAAATTTGCAAACTTAAATTGGAAGCTAATGCACATTTTAGGAATGCACCTTGGCACATACTTAAATGTATTCATCATTTAATGTATTCTGCTGAGTGTTTGGCCTGCAATGAAAACGCAGTTTAAAGTTTACATGTTTTGTGTCAAAAACAGAAGTGTATGAGAGAGTGAATGAGTGAGGGAATGTGCTATAGAATCTGTAAATGAACCTTATTACAAAAACATTGCTTTGGTACTGCTGAGGTTATTTCTAAGTTGCTATTGACCTCTGGCCCATTTGCTTCTTTGAATGATAGCAATAAATACTTTGGTATTTTACTCAGAATGAAGACAGAGTATTCATTTGTATTCTCCAAGGATCATGATCAAAACAAAGTTAGGTATTTTCTATTCTCTTTAGAACAACCATAGAGGAAACTGGTTATTTATTTGAATGCTCTGTGGGTTCAAAGTGTAATGCAGAAAACATCTGGAATAATTAAAAGAGTAGTGCTATTGTAAGGTATGTGGGGAGGGGCTGTTCTTCTAAGTCATGAGAATTTAGGGCTGGTTCACACAGAGTCCTTTTATTCACTCATAAGCAGTGGTCCTGCATGGTGATTAGACAAATTCGTGGAGCAAAGGCCTATGAATAAATCTAAAAAGAATATCAAATGTTGGGGATAAAGCAGAGAATGGTTTCAGCCCTGATATAGCCTTCCTGGCCACATCTATCTTACAATGGTTCAAAAGAGGATAGTGAACTACTTGGGTATTCAATATGATTCAGCAAGAATCAGTCTCTGTCTAAATCAGGTATGGAAAAGCTTGGGCTAACAAGCCAAACATAACTTATGGGCGTTCCCCATCTGGTTCACCAGCATCTTCTCCAGGCTCATCTAATACATAGTTCCATCTAATTTCCAGTAGTTGCCAACTATCAGAAAATATAAAAGCAGGGACTATCTGACATCTTGTATTCAAGGGTACACTACTGGAGTTCTCTTGAGCAACCATAATTCATAGTTACTGATATATATGATTCAGCATTTTCCTAATTTCTTTAAAATATCTAAACCAGTGACCATCACCAATATGTTTAAAGATGCAACCAGCCAGTTCAACAGGAGTGATTATGGTGCAGCTTTTCTTGCCATTATGAGGGATTTTGTCTCCAATAGTGCCATCATTTGTAGAGAAACTGTTCCTTCATTGGACAAATCCACCGATGAGGTTTTTAATTTATGAAATGCTTATATTTCAGGGCCCAAGAAACTTTCCACCGCCATATCTCAGAGTTCTACAAAATGACCTTTTTCTGTTGCTACCAAGTTCCTTAGACTATTTATACTATCCTAGTAGATAGTATAAGAATTTTGGGCATGAGAAAGACATCTATAATACACATAAGATGAAATATTAAAGAAGTTAATTTATTATAGTGGCATTTTGTACATAGTATCTACATCATCATCATTATTCTAATTATACTAATATTTATTTGGGGATTTTCCAAAGTATACTTGCTGACATTTCTTAAAAATTCAAGAGGCACTGTTGCTAATACAAGCCTCTTAATGACTTCTTTTATCTTAGGCCATATCCCTTAAATCTCCACTGCAGGGAAATACTCCCACAACCAAGGTCAGATCTTGAGTGCAGTCTTTCTCCAACTCCCAAAATGCATTTTGTTGTATTTCTGGCTGCTTGGACCATTTATCTGGGGTTGTACTGTTCGAATAACCTTCTTCTGGCAAGATCCCAGGGCATCCTCTTGCTATAATACAACAACTAGCTTCCTATTCTCTGCACAAGCATGATCACAATCGCGGCCATCTCCCCGCCCCACCAAGCATGGTCACTATTGCATGATTATCGTTTGGACTCTCCCTCCAAATAATAACCTCTCCTCCAACTAGGTTAGTGTTCTCTACTGTACTGCACAGTACTTTGTTACTTTGTTGTTCTTTGTCACTTTGTTTCAATTTTTTGTGATTAAAAATGGTTACAGAACAGATTAATCTTATTTACATTGAACCTTATGAGGAAATTTGACTTGGGTCACGACCAATTTGGGTCACGACTAGCATCCTGGAATGGATTAAGTTTGTGAGCCAAGGTACCACTGTACTACTAAGACCTTTACTACAACTGCAGTACAGTAACAATCTGTTACTGCCTCAGGCCTACTCAGATACATTTCAGTCTTGGCTACACAGAGTATTTATAGAAAATCAGCAGTGACCATCAGCACAATCTTCACAGTGCATCAGCCAGTTCAACAAGGCTGGGTTAACATAATGGGGTAGATCTGCATCCATATTGGTTGCATGTACATTAGCCTATGTACTGTGGATGTCGTGCTGGCTCAGGGCAATTATATTTTCCAGTCCAAGGTCTATTAATTGTCTGTCTCTCAACCACCTTTATATTCCCCTGTCACAGTGCTTCTTCAGCCAGGAATAAAAGCATAAACCTTTCCAGATAGCTTGTTCATGAAATTTTTAACTTAGTTTTATAAGCTTACAAAGGCCTATTGCTTGCATTCTCATATTTTTTATCTGAGATATTCAAACTTGAGAGCTTTTTTAAAATCCAAAGTGAAACACCAGACTTTACTATAATTATCTCCATTTTAATTCACTTTACAATGAGTTTTATATTTATATATATTTTTTCCCCTAAAGAAACCTCCCTCTGCTTTACTAGTAAACTGTTTTGAAACAAAGGTTACAATAGAGTCATGTTGCCATTCATATTGCATTATTGCAGCTCCCAACTGAATCTTAACCTGGCATTATTTGAAGATCATGTTTTATTCTATATGCAATTCCTAAAAGCTTTTTGAAAGACATGAATAATTCACTATGAGGGTCTTGGGGCTTTTGCTGTAGAAAATGAAATGGATTTTCCAGAACTAATAATGAACACAATCTGAGTTGAGATTGTGAAACTCTCTTGAATTATTGTCAGTGAAGTCACTGGTCACTGGAATGTCAGGACTGACTTAGTACAAGGGTGGGGGACTTATAGCCCTCCTGTTTTTCTTAGGCTGTAACTCTCAGCATGCCTTATCACTGGCTATGTTGGCTGGGGCTGATGGGGGTTTGAGTCAACACTGCCTTTGACTCAAGGTTTCCCATTCTCCTGCAGTATAATGATACAGCTCTATCTAATCAAACATTGGGACTGCAGGTGGCGCAGTGGTTTAAACTGCTGGGCTGGTTGATCAAAAGGTCGCCAGTTCGAATCTGCACAACGGAGTGAGTTCCCGTTGCTCCCTCCCAGCTCCTGCCAACCTTGCAGTTCGAAAGCATGCAACTGCAAGTCGATAAAAAGGTACCACTTCGGTGGGCAGGTAACAGCATTCCGTGCACCTTGGTGTTAAGTCATGCTGGCCACATGACCGCGGTGACTGTCTGGACAAACGCTGGCTCCCTCAGCTAGGAAACGGTTGAGCACCGCCCCTTAGAGTCAGGCATGACTGGATGTAATGTCAAGGGGAAACCTTTACCTTTAATCAAACATTCTGTTTCAGAAGTGGTCAGCCAGATGCTACTGAAGGTAATAGCCGTTTCCTTTTTGCCCCATTAGCTGGAATTCCCTCTAAACATGGAAAATCCATTAAAAAACAAAGCAAAGCAACATATTAATAAGAGATATGTCTGCTAAAGTATGAGGAAAGTGTTGGAAGCTGCCTTGTGCTCATTTCTTCCTAGCTTTTGGGTCATCCATGAAGTAGTTAGGTGCATACACATTATGACTGATACTAAGCACTGACCTTCTTCCTGCTTTGAAATCCGATTCAGATGTTTCATTTATGTGATTCAAGAACTTTAGCTTCTATGAAGGACAGTACAAAATGGGAGTATGTACAAGAATATTCTCTTCTTACATTATCAATATCAATCCATTGGGCAACTACAGAGAACTGATAATGTATCAGAAAGGTATTTGCATAGGAAAAGGCAATATGAAGGTGGCAAGCATTTTCAGAACTTTGTGTACAAATCCAAATCATCTTAAGCATGAAACAACATAAAGTGGTTTTTATTTTACATCTTTAGATTGTTTGGCCTGTATCTCATACCCGCAGGGATGAATGCAAGTGGGCTGGAAAAGATATTCTGGTAAGTACAAATCTTTATATATTCTTTTCTCCCCTCCTTTGTAAAGCTAGTCAATATTTCATGAAGACTCATCTTTTTAAATTTTAAAGCTTTGGGCTTTTTCTCAACCTTTTTCTTACAAATTACTCTGTTATGATAGATATGAACCTAAGTAGATTTTTCTTTCTCTTCATGTAAACCTGTAAGGTTAGGTTTACATGTAATGGAAGGGTTATATAATTGTCCCTGTACTTGGGGACTCTTAAAAGTTTGACCTCATTTCTATAATGACTGAAGCCCTCAATTTGCAGTGAACACCAAATAGACAGACCATTGTGAATGCAATAAGCCTCATTAATGTCCAGGCCTCAGGGGCCTTCCCTGACAGGAACACATTGATGGTTAAGTGACGTTAATTTCTCCCCTTCTATTGTGGTTTTTCCAGGCGTTGGGGTGGGGAGTGGGGCGGGGGGGGGGGGGGAGAATGAACCAAAGAAAGAAATCAGTTATTTTTTGCCATCACTCCTTCCCTCCTGCAGCTCTTCATCTCTTCCATGTGATATATTGGAAAGAAACCTGACTGAACATAGCAATAGTCTTGAGAGGAAGGAGAGGAAAAAAGATGTGGGATGCTTACTAACCTATATACTCGTAGGCCACTTAAACACATTTCCCATACAGACTGAAGGGAAATTGCTGTGTGTGCAACAGTAAAAGGAGGAATGGAACATACCTCCCAATGTATATATCAGTGGCTCAATATTCAGAGATGGCTCACTGAAATATTCATAATGGCAGTAGCTGGGGGTCTGTATCCTAATACTGTCTTGGGTCATAATTGAAAATGGGCTCACTAACTTAGCTTAGTCCACAGTGAATAGTTGGCTCACCCCAAGTGCGTGTGTGTGCAAGCACTTGTGTGTGAGTGCACACATGCATATGTGCTTGCTTAAAATCAGAAACAAAAACACAAAGAAAGAGATGAAAATATGCCAGAGTGAAGGGAAGAGAACAGAGTTGTCCCATACAAGGCAGCCCTATCACTAGTAATGCATCTGGTCTTTATAATATATGGTCACTGTTTGTGCATATATATGTTAATATATGTTCTGCACATTACAACAGTTGCAATTCCCATAACCACCCAGAACAGCTGAGGTGATGCTTTGTATCATGCCAGCTAATCTTTGAACTCCTCTTCCAACAAAGGGTTTTTTCTCTTCACAGAAAAAGTACAATACAATGTTGCATTTTCAAGATCCTTCAGTAAAGTGTGAGCACTCATCTTGCATTTATTCCTTACTGCTGAAAAGGGATAAAATGTAGATAGATGTTCAAGAATAACTCAGCAGACGTTTATTAAGAAGAGAACAGAGTACACAGAATATGCCATCTAATATTCATACCAGGATATTTTTATCATGGCAGCCTATTTCACATTTGTGATTGCCTAGAACTTCAAGTTCTTGAGGTCTCTTTTTTTTTAAAATAGCAACATTTATTTGATACTACCTGATTCTTAATCACAAGGAACAACCAATGCCATACTGAAACCTCAATTTCCCAGCAATAGGCCAGGTGCAACAGCTGCATTGCTTATATGAAATGTATATTAACTGTATGTAGCTTATATGAACCCCACTGGTAACCTCAAACATGACCTGAGACTAAAGGTTTCTTTTGTAACTCTATTGGATAGTATGCTGTATTTTCACTCTGCTGGAATCCAAATTATTCCTTCTATGTTGATGTCAGTCATATAGTACCATGAAACTGATATAGTCAGGGGTCTTGACGGAGTTGTGCCACAAATTGATAAATAAAGGGAGCCCAACATCTCAGCTTTCATTCTCCATGGAGAGGGAGGAGACAGGAAGAAAGAAAAAGGAAAACCTGAAAATGTGCAGATAATTTTGGATAGAAGTCCAGGAAGCAGAGGTAATTGAAAGAGATGGGTCATAGCTTAGCAGCAGGTCACTTGCTTTTCATGCAGAAGGTACCAGGTCCAAGCCCTTCATTTCCAGGTAGGACAAAGAAATTGTCTTGCACTCCTGCCAATCAGTATGGACAGCACTGGGTTAGGTGGATACCTGGCCTGGTTCAGTATAGATGCCTCAGTCAATATTCCTGTGTTTCTTTGAAATCTATCTGGGGCATCTCATGATTAACAGCTGTGCTTTAACTCTCCCATCTGGAACTTCTTTAGCCCTTGTGTGCACCTCAGGACTTGTACATGTGCATGTGCAACACTCTACAGGCCTAGTCTGCCCATGCAGGAAGTGGTTGAACCCTCTGCCACACCGGTCCCTATCCTTTTATTTTCCAAGTCTTTGCATATATAATTATACTTCCCAAATGAACCTTTTCCAACTAGAATCACTTATATGCATATTTCTCTTGAATGATTTAAGATGCAGAATTTGCCCTGTGTGAATGCATTAGTAGTAAATTGCCAAGTTCCAAATGTCCTCATAGGAATACAGTATGGAAATAGAATTCTGATATGAATTGGAATTCTAACTCCAACTAGAATGCTTCACCATTTCATACTGTATGGATCATGTATTAGTAGCATGTTGTAATGATTGTGTAAATTATACCTGAACATTTTTAGAAAGCTCTTTGTATCAGTGCTTCAAAGTGTTTTGTTCTTTTTTAGAGAATAAAAAGGGCTAGGGCTAGGGCTAGGGGAGATGACAGCCTGGCTCACCAATACATGCACTTCAATGGGTTTTCCTACCCTTGGCAACTGCTTAATGAATAAATGGATTAACTTCACTGAAATGAGGTGAGGTAAAATGCTAAATGTTCTCTCTGCTGTATGAGTTTTGGTTTAGATCTAGTCATACTTTTGATGCCGAACATATGCAGAAGACAGAATGTTCTGAGCAAGCACCAGGACAAGGAAATAAGTCTGCTCCTAATCAAACACCTGAGTAGTGGTGCCCACTGGTTCAATTGCATGCAGAGGGCTTTTTCAGTATTGGGAGGGATGAGGCAAGTCCCCTCAGTCTTCTATGCTCCTTGCTGAGGAGTGCCAGCAAGTTGCTAGCTCCTAACAGGATATCTTATCTTATGCCACCACCTAGGAACTATAGCAAAGGGATGTCTCACATTTACACATGAACCAGTCTGGCTTCACATAGCATGTAGCAGTGCCCTGCAACACAGAAGGTTTTGGAAAGTTTTAAAATCTAAATACACATCAAAAGCAGGACCTTTTTGAATGTTATCTCCCCAAGAAGAGTTGGGGACAGGTCACAGGCCTTTGTGGGATGGAGAAAACTCAGAGACTGGTCTTTTATTTCAATAATGATGGAATTTCTTGGTTCAGTTTTTTGTAGGGGCAAGTGCCTCCCCCCATCTTATCCCAAGAACTCAAGTAGGCTTAGACAGGAGCAGCTTGTTTTTTCCACTATCTTGGCCATAGGCTGCTTCCAGTTTTGTAGGTAAGACCAGCCCCTTGAGCTTCAGAACAAATCTGATACCAGCATGGTGGTTCAAGACTGAGGGCGAACACTCTCTAAAGCTCCTGCTGGAGAATTGTGTACTTTGTGCTCTAGCTGTGTCTGGGAACATGTTTCAAGGGCAGCCCAAACACAACATCTTCTATCAGTCTATGCTACTGTTTATAGTGCTGTTTAAGGGAATTCACTCAAGTCGACCCACTTATAATGAATGAATATGGAGCAGGTGTTGGAGTGCCATCCAGGTCCCCCAGCACCCACCACAGGAACACTTCTCTGTCGTCTCTGAGTTTGGCCAGCACAAGGAAGGACTCGGCATGTCTACATGGGGAGGACCTCCATGTGAGATGTGCCTCTAAGATGGGCCACAGCTCTCCTTGCAAGAGGAAGAATTTAGTAGATGAGGACACACCATGCTCCCAGCATGGAGAGTGTGGAAGGCATCTGACTGTGGCTACCTCCACCACCTCCTGTGTGTGTTGTTTCTGTGCATGGCATATGGGACTGGGGATGCCCTGTGGACCTCCCTATAGTATGCTACACGATATAGGTCTAAATTTAGAACAGCAACAGAATGGCCATGAAATATTCTTTGATAATTAGTGATATTATACTTTACATAGATTAATTCAAGTATTAAGAGAATTTATGTTAATGCTTGGATTTTGAATGGGAGATATGATTAGGGGTCAGGAATAAAAGATGCATTTTCCTATTCATGGATTATTTTTCTATTTATGGGGATATTTGTAAGGATTTGTTTCTCAAGAGAGCCCAGCATTTTGTCAAATGAAATCAATTTTAAAAAGAGAAGGATGAAATTGTGCTTAAAATCCCACCAGCGGCACTTTGTGTTTTAGAAATAATTTGGCATGCAAAAGGAAGGATCAGCTCATTTCAGTTGAACATCAGGGAAAAAAAACTACTAATGGTTAGAAGAGTCAAATAGGAGAACCATCCTCCTAGGGTGATTATATGTTCTCCATCACTGGAGGTATTTGAGCAAAGCCTGGATAGCCATCTGTCACAGACACTTTAAACTGGATTCCCACACTGAGTAGGATATTGGACTTGGTGGCTTAACTGACTCTATGACACTATGATCTAATAAGGTTTTTGAATGTCTCAAACATCAGCTATACTTCTGCATCCTCATTTAGTTTGTTAAGTGCTGATGACCTGCTTTTTTAAATCTTCCTTTTTTGGCTATATATTGTATGGAGAAATTGTGGTTCTAAATTTTTCTGGTTTGACTCCTCAACTTCTTTTTTCATTCTCCCTCCTGCAACTCCCACTGGTTGTTCCCAGTGTAGGTAGAGGTATTTCTCTTTGTCTTCACATGAAAATTCCATTATTATTTACCATGGCTAATGACCATAGATTTACTCTGCTTGGATTCTTTTCTCTCTTTTTTAACCCAAGAGATACCACATATCGATATCATCATCATCATAAATTGTCTGACAAGCCAGAATCATTAACTGATATTCATTCTCACCCCACATATTGTTGCATTCATATTCCTTATTCTTCAAAGAAAGCTCAGTATTGGAC